TGGTGCTGGGGGATTGAACCGCGGTCCCTGATGCCTTGCCAAGCTTGTTCTAAGTAGGTGCCTTAGACCACTGAGCCATCTCTCCAGCCCCTGGTAATGTATTTTTAAAAAGCAGCTAAACTTAACAATTTTTTATTGTACCTGGACTTTGAGTCATAGTTAAACAGCTTTTTTTTTTTTTTTTTTGTATTTTAGGGAAGGGTCTACAGGGTGTTCACGGTCTCACTACTAGATCAGACTGGTAGTGATCCACCTGTTTACAGCCTCCCAAGAGCTGGGATTACAGGCATGCACCACCACGCCCAGGCTCAGTTGCCATTTCATTGTACCCTGGGGGCAGGGCCAGCATGGCAGGCTCAAGGATCAAACCTCAGGTCCCTGAGCCTGCTTGCAGGTGCTTTAATCCCCTGAGCTATTTGGCAGGCCCCTGTAAACATAGTTTTGATGATTTATTTTGTCACTCTGTATTTATTAATTTTTAAAAAATCTTTTATTTCTTCAGTACAGGGTGTTACTACACAGCTTGGACTCTTAGTGATCCTTCTGTCTCAGCCTATAGGTGTGTGCCACCACACCCAGTTTTTGAGGCCAGCTCAGCATGCCCAGGGTTCTGGGGCCCGCAATGCATGTGGTGCTGGGGATCGAAGTGAGGTCCTTGTGCTTGCCAGGCAGGTACTGTAACCGCCACGCTATCTCCCCTAACTATGAGTCCGGTATATAATGTTTTATCCCTTCACACCCTCCTGTCAGTAGTGATTGGTCCAGTAAGAAGGCCTTTGGCTTTGTCAGTGGAGACCAGAGGAGCACTTAGTCTAAGGCAGTTTGCTTTCGAATGGAGCAAAGCCCTTCAGAGTGTACTCTACCTGACGCCAAGGGATGAAGGCTTCACGCTGACTGGAGGACACAGAACCTCTCCTGGCCCCAAGGGAGCTGGAGGTGTTCTTCCTTCTAATCTTTCTGAGTGGTCCTTTCTCTGGCTTTGAGTAATTTCCCCCAGCTGCACGGCTCAGTACCAAGCTGCAGGCCTGCAGGGGCCCTAGTAAACTGTCATCACTCGGCTTCCCTTGGTAGCTCTCTCCTCTCCCCGCTCCACCCTGTAAGCTCTAGCTGCCTCAGCCTCCTCAGCACCCCTGCTCCATCTCCTGAACCCAGAGCTGTGCGGTGCAGCGTCTCTGGGGAGCAACCAGGGACACCGGTGCACCTCGCCTCCTGTGCCGCCTGGGTTCACTGACCTTCACTGCCTCGTGGCCAGAGTTTTGGACACTGTGAGGTGTCCATGCACCCGTGAGGTGCTTTGGTTACTTCGGGTGGTACAGCAAATCTGTGTCCTACTCTCTACCAGCCAGAAGTCGAAGGACACCGTTGTAACGGCAGTCTTCCCCAACCACAGACCTGGGCATTGCCATCAAACAAGTAAACCAGTGGTGGTGAACCTATGGCAGGCAGGCCGCTGCGGTCATCTGTATCACTGGAAGCTCTGGAAGATTCGCCATCATAGATGTAAACTAAGTCTCTGAACACATCATGGATCGTCACGTAAGACTAGTACAGTCACGTAATATCTGCGAGTCCTGTTAACGCTTTATCCCTTCACACCCTCCAGTCAGTAGTGATTGGTCCAATAAGAAAGTGGAGATAAAGAGAGTGAGAGGGAGGGAACAACAGAGAGAGCACCCTGCAGGTGTCTGACAGCACCCTGCTGGCCCCTGGCCCCCCGTCACGCTTGGCTGCTCTTTTCTTTGGCACTGCTAAGATGTGTTCATAGGAAACAGCAACAATGAATGAACCCAGCAGATTTTAAATATTTCCAATGTAAGAGTTTTATTCTGCTTCTCAATTCGAGGAACCTACAACAGACTACAGATATAGAGAGTTAGGAAGGCCCAGTCAGAATGTCCAGGAAACAATAACATACACAATGCCCTGTCTCACAGATCTCAGGCCGGTTGTCAGGTCTTAATTCCAACCCTTGTGTGGAGAACAGAATCCCTAACTCAGATGGGGTGGTCATCTTAAGACAAGATAACAGGCTTGGATGCTAAGTGCCCCAACTGCCAAAGACTTTGACAGCAACCTGTCAGGTTGCACCTCTGAGCATGGGGCATGTACCAGAGGCTGAGATGTTTGGTCAAGACGTGGAAGAAAGGGGTAAAAGGAGTCCGAGAAAGCCAGGAGCAATACCCTCCAACAGGGAGGGGAACCAAGCGGGAGGAGGTGGGGAAGACCTGGGCCTTTGCTGTCCACAGGGAGGCAGAGGTGGGCTGAGGGGCGGCCTTACCTCAGTGGAGGGGCTCATTCCGCAGTGCTGCCCACTGAGGTCTGAATAGCCCTGTAGGAACGCTGACTCTCATCAACTTAGTTGCCACTAGACTGCTGTAGGTTCCTCGACGACCGCCCTCTTCCTCTGGTGGCTCCCAGAGGACTGCTGAGTCCTAGGCCCCTGGCCGAGGGCCTTCTCTGGGGAAGTGGATGCCACTGTTACTCGGGAGGGTTGGACCCAGCTGGCCTGGACTCGGTGCACCAACATACTCTGGGGTTGCACAGTGGCACACTCCCGCCCCCCCCTTGGGCTTAGGGTATGAGTTGGGGTGGCATTCTTGGGACCTGGTGCCGTGGGAAGCGCTGTCTGAGTCTGAGGATGTCATCTCCTGCAGAGGCGGCCTGTTGGCGGTTTTCTTTTTCTTTCTTCTAGGATTTTCCTGTTTGGGTTCTTTGAAATCCACAGTGTCAACTTCTTTCATTGACCAGAGTGGGAAAGTACCGTTTTTCAGGTCCTTGTCTTCCCTAAAGGGAGAGAGAGAGAGAGAGAGAGAGAGAGAGAGAGAGAGAGAGAGAGAGAGAGAGAGACACACAGAGACAGAGACAGAGACATCAGGGATGCCCTGGTTTTGACAGCCACTGTTTCACCGCACTGCCCAAGCTCCATGAGGATTGTGCCGCTCTTTGTCTACCATTCTCTTTCCCCTGGAAAGAAACCATGGGAGCTATGCTGAATACTTGGAGCTGTGCTGAATTCCCCTCAGTTTACCTCCACAAGCACTGGTGTCCGGGAGCCTCACACCAAGCATAGCACCTATATGTTTGGACCCCAGATCTGGCCAAGCCAGTGAAGGAATTACCATGTGGCTAGTAATCCAAGTGGGTGCTATGACAGCTCCAGTCAGCCCCAAACTGGAGCTTCTTATGACAGAGACCTTCTCCCACAGCGACATTCCTCTAATGACCCTGTTCAAGGTGCAGCAAGCACCTTGTATTTCATTGAAAAAACTTAGGCATGACTATGAAGTCATAGAACCAGATTTATGATTTAGAAATTGTACCAGATAATTACTTATCCAGAAGGATTGTCCTTCAAGGAAGGCATCTTGGGAACACCGTGACCCCATCCAGCTGTGTCATCTTGGCTATTTCCAGAACTCACCTTTTTCAGAACCTTCAGAGTCATGTAGCGTTAAGCCTTATTTTGTCCTCGTGTCCGTATCGGCCACCTCAATCATCGCCCCACCTTCACTCTGATATTTTTTGCTTGATTGCAACTCTAGGGTTCCTGCCCATTAGCTCAGTTGATTAAGTGCCTGCTTAAACCAAAGGCACTCAGGCTCGGGATACTGTGGTTTGATCCCCAGATCCTCGTGCCTTACCAGACCTGCCCTTCAGGCATCCTGAGCCAGCGACCCCCCCCCCCCAAAAAAAAAAAATCTTTCTGATTTCTATTCTAACTTTAGATCATTGCTGCTTCTAGAAGTTATCAAGTAAAAGATAATAAACTGCAAAAGAGATTTTTATTTCTGAACATTCTATCCTTCAAATTCCTCTTCAGTGGATGATGATTCACCACGTGTGATCCTCTTACAAGTCAGACTCAGATTCAGGAGCAAAATCTCAAAGAGAGATTTGAAAGATGGCTTAAACAGTAGTGGTAACTCCGGAAAAAGGCTTTCTAGGAGGTCAGAGAGAAATCATCTTTAAATATGAGGCTGGAAGGGGCCGGCCAAATAGCTCAGCAGATTAGATCCAGGCCTTCCGTGCTGGCCCCGCCCCTGGGGCACAGAGACAGCAATTGAGGCTGGGCGTGGTGGCACACACCTGTAATCTCAGCTCTTGGAAGGCTGTAAACAGGCGGATCACTATGAGTCCCATCTACTAATGACACCCTGAACACCCTGTAGACCCTTCGCTAAAACACACAAAAAATAAAAATATAAATAAATATGAGACTGGCTATGCGTGGATGTGGATGTTTTCTGCTGCCCGGTGCTTCGAGATGGCATGGGAATCGCACTGCAAGGTTGTATTTGCCTCATCTGCCCCTTGGGACCTGCAACTGTAACCTCTCCCTCCCCTCAACTAAGTCACTACGTCCTGGTTCCTTTTTCTGTATTTGCCATGTGTTAGGACTGATCACAGACTAGTCTGTACCCTGTAACCCCTCAGAGGGAAGAGCAGCGTTGGGTGGGGCTGGGGGCAGAGGCTTCTAGACACACTAAAAGCACACAGAAAACAGGGAGGTGGAGGAGCCTACCTACTCGCCCCAAGGGACCTGCAAAGGAGGGCCGCAGAGGAGGATGGGTTGCACGGGCAAATTACAGGCCGCCTGGAGTGTGGAATTTTAGGCAGAACATTGAAATAAGAAAGCCAGCACCCTGTAGACCCTTCGCTAAAACACACAAAAAATAAAAATATAAATAAATATGAGGCTGGCTATGCGTGGATGTGGACGTTTTCTGCTGCCCGGTGCTTCGAGATGGCATGGATGTGGAGGCTTAGGCCTGTGGTCCTAGCACTCAGGAGGCTGAGGCAGCAGGATCCCAAGTTTGAGGCCAGCCTGGGCTGCATAGTGAGTTCATTGTGAGCCTGAACTACATAGTGAGATTCTGTCTCAAATGAAACATAACAACAAGAAGAAATGAGGGATTATGCTCATGGGAAGAAGCAAAGAAGACATTATTTGGTGGAGGAAAAAAATCACAAAACAGAAAACATACATTTTCTTTCTTTTTTTGGTGGCACCAGAGATGGAACTCAGGCCCCTACACTTGCCAGGCAAGGGCTTATTCTACTGAGCTATCTCCCCCGCCCAAAACATACATTTTCATTACTAAAGGCTGTGAACATGTAAGAATCCCTAGAAAATGGCATCAATTATCATTTATCATAAATGTTTAGGACTGAAAGTGTTTAGATTTCAGATTCTACAATATTTGCTCATTCATCATGAGACACCTTGGCAGTGGGGTTGTATCTGCTTTTTATTCCCATAGCCAGGAGTGGGTGGCATTACACAATATTTTTAGTGATTTATATTTTTTATGGCAAATGTGCCTATATTTTGATATTTTAAAGGCTTTATTTGTTGTATTTAGGGCAGGGTCTACAGGGTCTCACTGTGTAGATCAGATTTGTAGTGATCCTGCTGTTTACAGCCTCCCAAGTGCTGGAATTACAGGCTTGTGCCACCACGCCCAGTCTCAATCGCTGTGTTAGCACACCCCAGGGGCGGGGCCAGTCCTGCAGGCCCAGGATTGAACCCCCAACCCCTGTATTTGCCTAAGCAGGTGCTTTAATCCATTGAGCTATTTGGCTGGCCCTTTAAAGGCTTTATTTTTATAGCCTTTAAAAAGACCCAAAACTTTTAATTTCCAGAGGAATACAAGATGCCTATAAACATAACATAACAGAAGCCTAAATTTTACAGTCTAGGCTGCCAAGGTAGAGTATTTCTGCAGAAGACTCCCATCAAAGTGATAGAGGGCACCTGGGCAGTGGCAGGCCAAGGGGCTGGGCCTTTCTCCAAGGACCTTCTGTTTTTATAATAAGATCCTTTAAAAATCCATTTTAAAAATAGCAGAAACACAACCAAGCATGGTGGCATACATTTCTAATTCCAGCTACATGAGAAGCTGAGGCAAGAGGATCACAAATTAGTGAGACCCTGGCTTAAAATGAAAAGCACAGGGGTGTAACTTAGTGTAGAGCGCTTGCCTAGCACGCTCAAGGCCTTGGGTTTAATCCCCTGTACTGCAAACAAGAACGCCAGAAATGGAAAGTTTAGCATATTTTAACACATGCAAAGATTACTCTGCAGTTAATGTTCTTTTCTTCACTTTCTTCACTGAGGCAAAAAGCTGGAGGAAAGGCTCTTCCTGCCCCCATGCAGCCCACTGGGCAGGATGCATGCACACCACGCGAGAGTCTCTCTGGTTCTGGAACTGAGTAATGTCACCGGGTCCCCCTAAAAATGCAGTCCTCACACCAGTGTTTCAGGGGTGTAGCAGATTCTTTCCTTCCTTCCTACCTTCCCTCCCTCCTTCCTTCTTCTCTCTTTTCTGTTCTCTCTCTTTCACAAATAGGATATTGCTATGCTGCCCATTGCCCATGATGGCCTCTAATTCCTGATCTAACGAGATCCTCCAGGATTACAGGCTCATGCCCCTGTGCTCACCTAGTGCCCCTATATTTTGACACTGACCCACCACATGAGGTCAGGTGTGTTATTCTCCACTGTCAGTGCTCAGAAAGTTTCAGATTTTGAACTTCCAGAGTGGGTTGCTCCCCTGTGATGACAAATGGGTGCATGCTGGTGTGGGGGTGGGGTCATTGCTCTGTGCCTTCAGCTAGTCCCTTTCTGAGAAGTTGTGTGCATCTGCTCCCTGTCTCCTGGGGTCTCACCCACCCCCTTCATTTGCTAGGTTACCCCGGGCCTCTCTTCTGTGAGGATCCCTGTGTGCAAGGCAGTCTTAGGGGATTTCGGGGGCTAGTGCCAAGCAGGTATCTGAGGACTGAGTAGGCTCTGAGGTCTACCAATTCAAGCAATGGATCTAAAGAGAAGGATGCACTGGTCTTGAGGCTTGGCCCATCTCTATGAGCCCTGGTGTCCCCCAACGCCTAGTGCTGGGACCCCCGCTGAACTGAGAGTAGGCAGTGACAGTTGTCTTGGAGGATGAGACAGGACAGCACACTTGCAGGCAGGGCTTTTGGCTGACTGGGCATTTCCATGACAGGAAACTGGCTCCTAATTGCCCAGACAGGACCAGAGGGGGTGAATCACACACAGAGGCTTATCAATTTCAAGGGAAACGTCCTCAGCAGTGACCAGGGAGACTGAGCCTCTGAGCCACTGTAGGTGACATCAGAACCACTTGTGGGAGGACACCAGGAGGCCACACCATGAGATGGATCTAAACAGTGTGGGAACGACCATTTCCAGGGGACACACTAGAAATCAGGGACTTCAGGGACAGAGGGATAGTGATAGCCTGAAGATTGGGGAACTGGTCATAGGCCCTACCTCCCACATGACCGTGTCCCCAGTCCACAGGGTGCCCACAAAGAGCAAGGGCAGAACTCTCCTAGCTCAGGACTGGTAACTTCCTTCACTCATCCCTAAATTTTTCTGGGGCACAAACCCAGTGACTAATCCAGCTGGCTCTCCTGAGATCACATTTACAATGGTGTTAATATTTTAAAAGGAAATCTCAGTCCTTCAAGGGGAGTCCTCTTAAGGCAGTGTCTTGGAGGTTACTTTGCTGAAGCCGTGAAGGGTGGGTGGGTGGATTCCAGCTCTTCCGGAGGCGGAGCTTTCCTGCCAGGCGCACACCACCAGGTGTGTGGGGCCCCTCTAGGCTGCCAGGAGCCCAGCCCGTGCAGGCTGAGGATGCCTGGCATAAGTGGTAAGTTCCCTTTGGTGGAGAAAGCTAAAAGCTGAAGCATCAAACCCACCAGGTGGCCCCAGGAAGCAGCCAGAGGCCACTGCACTCTGATGTGAACAGGATCAGGAGAGGCAG